TAGATTATGAGCTGCTATGTGGAAGTAAAACCCAACCAACCAACAACAAAAACCCCTAAAAACCCCCCAAATGCCACAATATCCTAATTATCTCTTCCTGAGCTCTTTTCCTGGATCTTTTTAGGCGAAACAGTCAGTTTATCTTTTTCCCCTTCCAGGATGATGGGTAACTTTTGGACATGTTCCAAACTCCCCTGAAGTCAGTAAAAAGTTTCCAAGGTCTGTGAATCAAGCCCTGGATGCAGGAGGGTAAAAAGTGTGAACATCCTACCTTGCATTCTAGGTGAAAACACACACATCCTGCAAGTGCCACACATTAGTGCTCAGTAAGTAGTCCTTTCCTTTTCTCTGTTTCTCCACAGTGTGAAAAGGTCTCTCTGATGATACAGCAGACAAACACCTTCTCAGAAAGGAGGACAGGCCTGGTTCCTTTCTAGTAGTGAAGTCGCCATTAGCGATGGAGTTGCACATCACAGGAGTGGTCCTTCTCCTGGTCCTTGACTGCATAATTTCCCAGACCCTACTTTGCAAATACCTGAGGTGAAGGCTAAAGACTAACCAGTGACTTTATAAGCTCTGGTACAGTTTGTGCCAGGCCCAGCTCAGGATGAGGTTTGCCAAAGCCTCTCACGAGGCTCTGTTACAAGGGCATTGAATCTTGTAGCAAGAAACACACAATCCTCTCCTCACTTATACCATCTTCTGGTGAAAATGAACATCACATAGATGTAAAAATAACCCTACATCAAGTCACCACTTTTTATAGCAGCTTGATTATTCCAGAAATGATGCCTCAGGTGAGTTCCAAAATTTAAATTTCTGATACTCTTCATATTTTCCCAAAGCTGTTTTCTCATTATGTATTTTTAATAAGCTGTTATAATGTCCTGAGAAATTCAGGTTCTGTGTGTGGCTTCCTCTAGCTTTCCTCCTCCTGACCATGGGGCTCACTGAACACCACAGAGTCACAGAAAAGCAGAAGCCTTCGCCCCTGGGCAAGATCAGCTACAGGCATACAATTTCTGACAGAAAAAATGTTGTCTTGTTCTTATTCAACAGTCTTCCTGAAGTATACCAACCTGACTTAAGCCTTTAACTCAATCCTTTAATAAAAGCTTATGAGTCCTGCTGTGGTCAGTGGAGGCCCTGGAAGGTGGGTCAGAAGTGGCTCAGGAAGGGGCACACGTGTCCTGGGCAGGTTAGGTTAGAAAATATGAACACCCAGCTATCTGCATTTCTGTAGTGTACCAGCCTAATTTGGAATAAAAGTCTTCTAAGGTTCTACTTTCAAACCATGGTGTGGTAAAGGTCAAAGGGGTGAAGCACATCTGGCCAGATGTGTTGTAGGTGCTCAGAGAGACTGAATAGTGGTGGTACCATAGTGGAGACATGCAAAGATAAGCAAGAAGAGATTTTTTTTTCCATGAAAGCAGTTTGTCAAAATTCCTCTTCTTGGTACCAGTTATTATGAAAGATGCCCAAACATGCATCCACAAGACAATAAAAGTGTGATCCAGGGCTCATCTTCAGTCACCTTGTATCTTCACTTCCCTGCTATCAGAGTCTGTTGCGATCTCTGGATCGTATGGCAGAAGAATCATAGTCCCTTCTTGTTACATTATTAATGCTGGTCATTTCAGACAAAGTAATAGTGATTTCTTTGTGGATGGATTAACTACATCTGCATCGTTGCGGCAGAGGCAAAAACATATTTAATTTCCTAAGCAAAGATTTTGCAACCTACTCGCTGGGGTTCTCTGATTTCCCACCAAACTGGCAGCATCGTGTAGGACCACACTAAGCTAAACATTTAACAAAGTCAAATAATTTGGGATGCCTAAACAATCTTCCAAATAAAATCATTTTGTCAGTCTGTAGGTGTACACAGACAAGAGAGATTCTTCTGGAACTGGTGCAGATACTTTGGGAAATGGTCTGTTTCTCCATAGTACCATGTCACAAAGAGCCTCCACTCCAAGCAGTGTCCTTGGCTTTGTTTAGGATCACTGCTGTGAATTCAAAGAGAAGTTCTTGGTTAGGATTACCTGAGAGCAGTTATTTTTTTCAATTATTATTTCATTATTTAGACCGTACATGCTTTCATAGCCCACACAGGCTTTTAAGTGGATTGTAAAAATATGCAAAGGTGTTTTTGTTTTCTTTAATATCCAGACATTTTCGGAGGTCTCACAAGGTACAAAACAGTAAACAAGCAGGTAAGGCTGTGGGACAGTGAGCCTGCTGCAGGCAGCCCATCTCACTTCTATTAATTATTGTTGTTATTATTATTGCTATGGTTATTGCTGTTATTATCAAAACTGCTAATAATGTTAATAAATACAGCAACTGATTTAGGTTAGCTTCTATCAGCACCTCCCTTCTAAGTGAAGCAAGGTCTTTGCTGAAACTGCTTCCTGCTGCAAATGATTATTCTGAACCACTTCTTCCATCGTGATCACAACAGACACTTTCCAGATACTTTAGCTCACTAGACACTCCTTGGAAATGTCAGACATGTCTTTTGTGAAGAGCTCCTGTTTTTAACAATATGATAGTATTTCAAGCAAATACTTAGTAAGTTTTGCCAGTGGGTCCTAGCATCTTTGGAAGAAAAGGACAGTTATGGGCAGTGCTGGTGGGTGGAAGAGGGGATATCAGTCATGTAAAAAACATACCTTGTGGTTTTAGTGACGCATGAATTATAATCACTGAAGGCAGTAAGGTTCATTCCAGTCACTGTGGCAAAGACAAAAGGCGAACATTTGTCTTACTAATCATTTACAGGAACCTGGTGTTCAACCGTGCAATGCTGCCATGGGTAGAAAAATATGTTTCAGAAAAGTACTGTAACATTAGCTGTCCCCCAAAACATCCACTCAATCATTTCTGCATAGATGAATGCTGACATGACAGAAGAACTGTTTGTTGTACACATGTGAGTGGAGCGCAGGGCACTTTGGAGTGACTCCCTGTGCTCCCCAGGTAAGTCATGTTATACCTCAGAGCCTCCATGGAACAGGGACACGTATAGCTGCCCAAAAAGAGTGCCTCAGCCATCCTGCTTCATCCAGGGCAAAAATCCAGATGGGTACAAGGCCTCATTCTCCTGCCCTTCCTTTCAGCCTTTCTCCCCTCCCTCTCTCTTCACTCCAGATTACAATCTGGTCAGTCTTAACATGTCACCTGTCAGGCATCTTTTAGCTTACTATTATCAGATGGCTTAGCCAAATATTTCCTCGTCCTGATTTTGGCTGCTCATTCTTACCCACAAACTACCTTTACCACTAGGCTGAAATAAAGTGGGTTTTTTTAAAAAATTTGTCTGTTTTTTGGTTTCGTTTTTTCTTTCATCCAAATTGGTTCCTAGATGTGACATGATAGTAGCAGCAGAGACATAGGAACAGGAAGAGAGGACCCCTGGAATACATCCCTGGAACTGTTCAAGGCCAGGTTGGATGGGGCTTTGAGCAACCTGGTCTACTGGAAGGTGTCCCTGCCTGTGGTAGGGGAGCTGGAAATAGATGATGTTCAAGGTCCTTTCCAAACCAAACCATTCTGTGATTCTACGACCTTAAGAAGAGTCCTGCTGCAGGGCTGTCACATGTGGAAAGCATGTGGTCAGCAATGGGGTGACAGGAGCTCTCTGCTAAGTGAAACAGAGGGAGCCTCTGGTTTCAGCTTGAGGGTATTCCTGAAGTGTCAGACTCCCAAGTGGATTTTTCAGAGCAAATTTGGTTATGCAATGCAGCCTTTTTTTCCCCTGGAATGTAAAGTCAGATGTACATATATACAAAAGGGAAGGTACCATGTGAGGGCATGCAGATGTTACAGCTTAAATATTTGTGTCGAAGTGAGTCTCCTCAGGCACCCTGTACAGTCTACGGAGCCCTAATACCATTCAGCTTATCTGAAAGTATGAGGACATTCTCACTTTTTTAAACATCCTCACTATTTTAGACAGTGAGCACTGCTCAAACAAAACAAGACAAAACCCTCCAGATATTAGCTATAAACACTGCCTCAGAAAAAGGAGTTGCTCCAAGTCAACTTTCAGTAGGAAATCAACCCCGGTGGTGTTCTGAGTCAGCAGAGATTGTCTTCAGAGCTGGATTCAGAGAGGGAAAGGACAAGAGAGCCCACCTATTATCCACAGATACTTTTTATAGTTTTCCCCTTTCGCCACTCAGTGCTTTTCACCCAGCTGCAGCAGCACAGCACCAAAGAAACTATGACACTGCCTCTTAAAATTAAGCTAATCAATGCACATGCTGGGCTGAGCTGACACAGGTTTGTGGCAGAAGGTTTTAAAGCAGAGCTGCTTAAAATCTGCTAGTGGATGGCAGGTTATTTTCATGTCAGAAAACACTCCTGATGGAAACAAGCAAGCATAAACACCTACCCTTTACAAGCCTGCTTTCATGCTTAAAGAAACCTGATGCTCAGCCATGTGGAGAAATCATTTCTTTCCTCTCCATAGCAGAAAGTTCAGTGAAATGGAAAGCAGCTCTTACAGCTGAGTGTTCCAACTGGAATTATTAAGTATTTTTTAATAGCTTGCAAAATGATGCATTCACTTTATCTATTATCATGTAAATATTTTATACTAAATACACTAAACCATCTTTTGCAACATTAGTTTGGATTAGACACATACTATTAAAATTACTCTTAATGAAAATATTTAGGTCTGAAAGGGGATTTAAATATTATTTTCCATCAGTTTAGTTCCTTTGTATGAAGGAGAATGAAGTCCTTTATGTTTAAATGATTTAAAGCATCCAGCTTAAACTGCATTACCCAAGAACTTTTGCGTTGCCAATAATAGCCCACTCTAAATTTGAAGTACAGAAGAAAAATAGTAATCAAAACCTGAATTTCCAAGCATTTTTGAATTTAAACCTATCTCTGCTACTTATATTAAAAAATGTGATTTATATGCTAAGTTAACAGACTCTTAAAATAGGACACTAAAAGCAGAAGTTATAAAGCATACAGTTTACCTGAGTTGCCTTGAGGAGTCCTCCTATATCACACACTTGCCTGGACTCAGCCTTTAAAACTGAGTTAATTGGGATTTAACAGGAAAACACTGCCAGAAGCTTATCAGACTGGCAGCCACGGCTCTTTGCAAAGGTGCCCTTCTTCTGCATCCTCATCACTGCTGTCCCTAAGGACAGTGGTGGCCTCTTTCCCCGCTTAAGGCTCACCCAGCACTCCCAGCCAAGTGGGTGGGAGGAAAAGTCTTCTCTTTGCAGGATAAGGGACTCACTATATTCTTAGCATGGATTGTGCCCATCCCACTGCTCCTCTGAGATCAGCTCCCAACCTTGATTTTTGAACCCATGACTCCACAGTCCCAGGGAGAGACCTAAGCCTGTGCTCAGAGCTGAGAACTGTACATGCTCATGGTATGTTTCAGCCAGGATGGACATTTGCCCACATTTAACTCTTTTCCTGACACAGCAGTCTTAAGCATGTGCTAAGAATTTAGGAATCGATTCCAGGGAAATCAGGTTCATAATTTGGAAGCCGTTTCCCAACACAACTCAGACATTTGCTGTCCTTGAGCTATCAACACAGCCTGAGGACTCTGAGGTAAAAGTTCAGGGCAGTCTGAAAGATGCAACTGGGGGGAAGCACTAAGATGTTCATGCTTGGCCACAGCTCTTTTCCTTTCAGAGCAGAGTGATGTTGCTCTCTGCAGCAAAGTTATGCTCCCAGCAAGAGCTCTTCAGCCCAGCTCCCCCTCACCTGTGGGCAGGCATTATGGTTCAAGGTGATTTAACAACCCTCAGACCTTGCTGGGGGTTTTAACCTTTTACTGGGGAATCTTGGCATCCTTCACTACATTGTATTTTGAAAGAAATAAAACCACTTCTACCTATATGCTTTAATGATTTTAAAATATGTTTTTAGGTTATCTGAATGGTTAGTTAATACTGTACAAGACTTCACAACCTGGGAAAAAAAGTCTGCATTTTTCACTATCCATTAGCCCAGCAACAACTAGGCTCCCCAGAGCTGTGAGACCATTTTATAAGCACACAGCAGGGTGACAAGTCTGGCTCTTACAGCAGGAGCTACCTGTGTCCCTCTCCTCTGTAACCCCATTAAGGGTTCCCTGCGTGTCAGCAGGGAACAAGTGTTATGGCTGGGGTGATCCCTGCCAGGTCTGGGTTAAGCGGCTCAAGTGCTCACATGGATGATCATACTGTCCAGTCTGCTAGAAACCAGAGAGAGAAGAAGAAGCAGGATTTTCATCCACACAAAAAAAGGATGATGTTCTCCACTTGGTAGTTTGCTAGAGAAACACGGGTAACATAGGTTGGTTTGGGGGATTTCAGCTGTGAGGTAACTCACATTTGGAGATTTATGCAGCCTCTCTATTTCAGCTTTCTGTATTTTACTTTTGCTTTTTAATTACTTTCACAGAAGGGCATTGAGAATACTGGAGTATTGGATCTGGTTTTAAACTGTTTCAGATCCTTTTGATCTGGAGACATGTTGTCTTGTCTGTCACTCCAAAACAGTGATCCAAAAAAACCTCCAGATCCACTGCTCAGGGTCTATCTTGCACTTCTTGGTCTGCTTATTTGTGGTGCACTGTGCAGCTCTGCTCCTGCCTGCGAAGGCCCCTCATTTCCCAAGGCTTCAGATGGGCTGTTAGGGTTCGCTAGTCTCTGTCCTCACAAATCTCTCTCCTCTATGACCCTCTGTTTGCAGTTCTCCCCTCCTTGAGAAGTTCATTTTTGTTTTACCACCTTAGGTCTTCTATTAAGGAGCGGCACAAGAAAGCGGAAAACCTAATCTATGTGATTTGAGAGCGAGTTACTATGGCCACAAATGTGATGGGGAAGTGTCTATTTCAGAAATAGGAGCAAAGCATGTCTAGCAACCTATAAATAAACAACTTGGGGGCCCAGGCTGTCAGACACGTGTCACAGAAGTGCCTGTTACAGCTCTTCACCACTTTAAAACTGAAGTCATAGCTACAGGCACATGATAGAGAACAAGAGTATGAGAAGACCAGAGATATATAATAGGTCAAATACAGCCTTTGTAATTTATGATGGAGCAATTTTACCCCCACAGACGAATGAAAGAGGATGCAGGAGGCTACCTGCACCCCTGGTCTAACCTGTCAGGCTACATCTCTCTTGTTTTGGGCCAACAGATACTACCTCTTACCTTAGGCAGATAAGACTTAGCTAGTCTACCTACAGTAATCTGTCATACTCTCTAGCTGAGTCAGTTGCCCTGTCTTTTGCACCCAGAATACAGCCTTGAGCACTCCCAGTGACAACATGCATGAGGAATCAATCACTTTCCCAACTACCAGATAATGAGAAAGGGACAGGTTAAGTTGTCACTAAGAAAATGCAGTGAAGGCGTGATTGTGCTTGTGTCACTTGTCAGCTCAGACTCACATGGAGATTGGTGCAAGGTAGGCTGAAGGTTAGATGGACTGCCAATGCTGATTTCTCCAGGGGTGTGCTCTAGGTGAAGCTGTACTCTATATCACAGTCTCCCCTGCCAATGTGTACAAAGATGTCTGGATTAAGCAAGCACGGGTGGGCTTGCACAGGCTCACATAAGCATCACACCTTCCTTTTGCATGAAGACATATTACTAGGGCTTGCTGCCTCAAAGGCTTGTATATCTTATTTATGCAAGTCTAGATGGAATCATAGGATCACAGAATCATCAAGGTTGGAAGAGATCTCCAAGATCGTCCACTTCAACCACCAACCTAGTATCACTGTAATCACCCCTAAACCATATTCCCAAGTGCCACACCTCCTATTTGGTGTATCTGGATTTCAAGAAAAGGAAAGCTTTGAGGAAGTTTTCCTGAAGTAATTAATTTGCCCTTTTTCAGTCTCCTAAAGAGACTACTTCTGCTCCCTCACACATTCATTTTCCTTCACAAAGCAGCGTTCATAGGTGACAAATCTCACTGATCTTTACAGTGTGGTGTGTGTTTCCTTGGATAATTCACCCCATGGCTGTACCACTGTCAGCAAAATCCACTCTATGTCTTCTCCTGCCCAAGCCCCCACATGGTCACCTCTGCTACCACAACACAGAGCACAGCTGACTCAACTGAGCTAATACTGAGACAACTGAGACTACTGAGACAACTGAGACTACTGAGACAACTGAGCCACCTAAAGATATTCCTAAAAAAATAATAATATAACCCAACCTGTTCCCCTGCTTTGTTCTCCACAATAAATTTAGCAGCACAAGTAAAGTGGTAATGTGGTATTGGAAAGTATTGATGAAGGTGGGAAGGTTGGCAGAGGAGTCACCAGAGAAATAAAACCTGTGATACTGTAGAAAACTGCCTGCACCATGGGAAGTTGCAATGGTCAGAAGGTTTCAGGCTAAGTCTCTGCATTTCCAAACATCTACTCTCAAGAGATTAGAATTAAAAATGGTACAGCATGTTAACAGAGGTGGGCAGAGAGCATGATGCATATCTGTGGGTTTTTCTCCAAGAAAGAATTTCTTGTCTAGAGTATGTCTAACACAGCACAGAGCCCACAAATCACAATGTAGCATTATCTGATGTGGGGAGGTGGATAAATGACTAAAATAAACAAGAGAGCTCAACAGAAGCCTCCTGCTACATTTGGGAGGTAACTTGGTCCTTATTTCACTTTTTCCTCTTGACAAGAGGGTACGCAATCTGTCTGAGAGACTCCAGTAACAAGAAGAGTTCAATCTCACAATTAAGGGGAACAAAGTATCGTGACTAATCTGTGGATGGAGAGCAGTACTATTTTGAGCACAGTTTGGGAGAGCGCTTGTTCAGTTAACAGATAAGTCAGTCGGTGGATGAGTTTTCAGATGAAGCTCTGATTTGTTTCCTCAGAAGAGAGTCAGGGGGTGTATATGGAAGGAGGAACACACACCCAAGAAAAGAATACAGGAATTTTTCCTCTTTCCCTCATTATTTTAATTGAAGCACATAACATGAGACATTTTTTTTAAAAAATGCAAACCATGGGGTTACTGAAGAGGGACCGTTATCCTCTACTCAAAACATGGAGCAGGCTGGCATTGAAATGCATGGTGAGATTTTGGTCACTCCTTTTTGTTTTGTTTTGCAAAGCAACCAGCACAATTGAACCATTGACCTGCCCAGCTCTTCAGTGCTGAAGTAAGTAAAAGTATTTGTTTGAAAATAAATGTGGTTATTGCTTTTAAGAGGATTCCAGGTAGCATAGGTTATTTTAGCATAGTCTCATGTACTATGGAAAAGCTTCTGAAATAAAATTTTTATGCTGAAAAATAATTATGAAATCTATTAATGAACGTGAATTATCACTTAAAAATTTTCATGTTAGTCAGGTAAAGAATTCTAATACTCCTTATTTACACCTTCAACATCTCATGCTTTCATACATCAGCAAGTGTAGAGGGCTGTCATTAAAGACTGAAATGGCTTTGTGCCATTCAGGACTTCTGGCACGGTGGATTGCTATTCCTTTTCATGTCCTGACAAATTCAATCTAGGGAAGTGTACCACTTCCAGAGTATTCTTCTTGCCATCACAGTCTCAGCTGGCTATTTCTGATTCAAGTCCTTTGAAGCCCTCCAAAGGGTCAAAAAGTCAAGACCTCTGGTTGCTAAACATGAAAAAAAGGTGAATCCCAAAGTGCTGTCAGTCCCAAGCCAAAGAGCAGGAGAATAAAGTGGTCCCTTTTCATTGCATTCATCCTGGAGACAGGCTCTGCCATGCTATACCCCCATATCTTACAGTGACTTCCTCAGCATGACAGCAGGGGACTTTGGCCCCTGAAATGCCTTCCTGATTTCTGCTGCTGAGCTCGGGGCTGCTCCCGCAGAGCCAAACTTTGCTATCTCTCCCCAGGAGCTGAGTTTCTGAGAATATTCTCTGCTGCCTAACAGCCCCTCTTCAGTGATGATGAACTGCTGTTGACAGTCCTCTTCAAATGAGCCAAACAAAGCAGGAGGAGCTGCATGAGGCTTTAACATAGATTAAGATACACAGTGGTTATCCACCACCATGTGTCAATCATTAGCTATTAATTAGGCTAAGTAAAAGATAAACATTGGCTTTAAGAACCATTTCCAGACATTAAGGGTTTGCCCTTACTGTATATCCATACCCCAGCATCTGCTGAAAGCAAGTTAAGTAGCTCTTAAATTCTTTGGCTATATGTGTCACA